GAGAAGTGACTAACATTTTTATGAATTAGAGAAATAATGGCTATGTTCTAGGGCTTAAGGGATAAGCAGAAATCCAGGTGGATACCAGTGAGATTTGTGGACAACTGCACATTTTTGCAGCAATGGCAGCGGGTCCCTGGGTAGCAAGAGAAAATCTCCTGAAAGTCCACGGTCTATCTTTAGCAGAGTTATCCAGTTTAATGAAAATCCATCAGTCTCTTCCATACTTGGAAAAGAAGTGGGACAGCAAGTTCCCACGAAATGAATACTTGCAGAAATTCTGACCCCTCTTGCAGTCCGCACAGTTACCCAGGGAAAGAAAGAAGCTGGTGCACAGCCAAGCCTTAGTGAAACACATCGGTGTCCCACCTCAGCAGTCTGGGGAAGATGAAAAGAAACCCTGTTTGGAAGACATTCCTTTAGTAAATTGTAAATCCTACATGAGGATGAAGTAGTAGGAGTCACCAACACACAGCACTTTGTACATTACTAAGATTGGTGGTGGTTTACTCACTCCCACACATACAGCGAGTTTATCGCCGGGTTTTAGTGAGCAGCTGTTCTCACAAAACAGCAGTTTTCTCTTACTCCCTGGACAAGTTCAAGGTGGCTGAAGGTGTTTTGCTGAGTTTCCTATGAAGTATTGCTGCAGCAGGAGGATCTGCACTGCATACCAGGATGTAGCTGCCCAGGTTTTGCAAAGGGCATTTGCAAGCTCTGGAGGGGCTTAGCCCCATTGCTGTGGCAAACAGGGCTCAGTCAGCCTTTCTCTGGGCCACTCTCTCTCTAACCACAGACACTTTATTTTGGTGTGTAGGATCAAGATGTGCACCAAAGTGACCATGGATGACTTCCTGGCGGCACACCACGAGATGGGCCACATTGAGTACGACATGGCGTACTCGGGGCAGCCCTACCTGCTGAGGAGCGGTGCCAACGAGGGCTTCCACGAAGCTGTAGGTGAAATTATGTCACTTTCTGCAGCCACGCCTCAGCACTTGAAATCTCTTGATCTCCTAGAGCCAACTTTCCAAGATGATGAAGGTAAATAAATGCATAGATATTATGCATTTATGCGAAAGCACTTTTTGGTCTTATTTTGTAGTAGAAGATCGTGCCTACAAACTCAGCAATCAACTGACAGGCTTCTGAAAATCTTACTCCTCTAATTTACCAGAAATACTATTTTTCCCCAAATCGCATTGTGAAGCAAAGATCACTACTTTGCAATGCTGTTACATAATTTAAAAAGTAGCTAGCACTTCACTACCTTCAACACTGAACAACTCATCCTTTAATCTTCATAGTTCATTTAGATGAGTCTCCAAAACTCTTTTCAATTCTCTTGCATGAATCCATACATATCTCTATCAAGATGTGCATTTAGCAGTTCAAATGAAACTGAAACGTTGAGATTTACGTCTCCCACTTAAATGAATATTGAGTGACAACATAGACCTCATTATAATGCAGTTCATCTGGCTTCTGAGCACTACCTTAGATGGATGAAAATGTACATTTTATACATTTTGAGATGTCTTGAGCTCAAAATTCCTGAGAAACTGGAGAGGTTCTCAGTGATAGGTAACTAAATGTACATGTCAAAGGACTAGGTTATTTAAGGTTTGGGGGAAAGAGACAAAACAGTGTACAATCCTAAATGATGTTATCTCATTTTTTTTCAGTAGTATTCTTCCTTTCACTTTTTCCTTAGTGAAAATCTGTAATTCAAAAAAGATGTAAGCATTAGCTGTTAAAGGAAATTACTTTAGCCATCTAGTCAGGTACTAATTGCTACCATAACCATTACCTTAACTGCTTCTCTCTTCAGAAACTGAAATCAACTTTCTGCTCAAACAAGCACTAACCATTGTTGGAACAATGCCTTTTACTTACATGCTGGAGAAGTGGAGGTGGATGGTGTTTAGGGGTGAGATTACAAAACAGGAATGGACCAAACGGTGGTGGGAGATGAAGTAAGTTTGAGAAACAAAGGGGATTTTTTTAATATGAACCTGCAAACTCAACCCTAGTTACTCAACATACTGAGGTGTTTGAGCCCCATAGGACAGGATGTGTGTCTCTGGATGTTTCTGTAAATACCAATAGAGTGCTCGATAGAAATACACAACTGTGGTGCAGACAATGTCTCATAATGTCTCATGTCAGCCTCCTGATAAAGACAGCCCATGGCCTTTGCATGGCCTGTTCCAGATCAACATTGCTGTCCCCCTGACACATTCCCCAAGACATCTTCACTAAAGTAAAGCTAAAGTACAGCCCTTCTCTAAGTCTCACTGGTCACGTGCTCTGGTTTGCTCCCCACATCCTTAAGGACAAGTGGAAAGTGAAGTTCATTGTACTTGCCAGCCAGAGAAACATGCAGATCTCAATCCACCAAGTATCTGAGCACACTTCTTTGCTTTGTGTTTCCTTCCCACCGTACAGTGCTTTTGGGGGCAAATTGTCTGAAAGATTTTAGACTGAATCTGAAGGACTGAATTCCTTCCTTGTGTACTAAGATACCACCTTCCTCCGTACAGAAAATACAGTTCCCTCGGCAAGTAACAGCCAGAGGTGCCTTTTCAGATTGTGCCCATCAATCAGTATATTTTCAGCACCTTGGAGCACAAGATTAAAAATAAATATGATTCACACTGGAGTTTGTAATTTCCCAGGTTGGTTTTAATATGAGGGCAGAAAAATGCAAAGAAACCAAACAAGCCCCACGCTGAAAATGGAACTTGAACTCTAACACGAACATGAACAGCAAGCCTCCATCAGCAAACAGAATCTATAATAAAAGTTGATATATGCAAGCCTCCTGACCCACTGTAAAAATCAATCAGCTTCAATGTATTCAAAAGTAGCAGATATGTCAGAGAAACAGAGAATGACAAATTGTTCAGGGAAGCTTATCACATCTGTTGCAGTGGCACTGCAAAGCTCTCTGCTTGAAATACAGGTTTATGAAAAATATTTCCGTGGAAGCTTATTACCATTTTCAGAACTCAAGGCATGGGTTTGTTTCTCAGGAAACACAGTCTCAGGAGAGGAAAATAAAGAGAAATCTTATCTCCAGCCCAGTGGCACAGGAGGCCATCTGCCTTTTGGGTTGCCCAGTCCCTGCATGCCCTTGCCCAAAACAAAAAAACAGGTCTCTAAACTCAGGATGGGCCAGGGCATGAGGTGGTTTATGTGAATCTCATGTCTTGCAGATTATTTCATACCACTAATTGATCCGTGCACACCCTGCTATCATACAAATCCCTTCCTTGCATTATGAGTTTCCAAACAGCTTCCTCTCTGTGGTCTCCAGCTGTGAAGCAGAACTCACTAGGGGTTACTGGGAGCTGTATGGAATTCTTCTGTTTGCAAGTGAGAGGTGTCCATATGTATCAGACAAAATAGAAATAAAAGCTGAGTCAGATTACCTCTGCTTATTGTCTATAAACAGAAACACTGTTATTCCTTCATCTCCAGGAGAGCCATAGTTGGTGTTGTGGAACCAGTCCCTCATGATGAAACCTACTGCGACCCTGCCGTGCTGTTTCACGTGGCCAATGATTACTCCTTCATAAGGTAGTGCAGTGTTTAATTCATTACTTAAGTTTTGTCTACAGAACAAGCCCCAGCTACCTAAAACATCTGCTGGAGAGTCTCAGGACCCAAACTTATTTTGTTTAAAGCCCAGACCGAAGGTTGCTGATTCCAATGGGAGTGTTTCTCTGCACATCAGGGGTTGTTCCATAATAATCTCTGAGCAGCGAGGAGGCTGCTGACCTTCTTGCTGAACAGGAAAGTTTCATGCTGCCATCAAACAGCAGGAGCACTTCTGTATGAGTGCTTGCCTTCTGGGGGGTCACTGTGCCTCATGTCATTTGGGCCATGAGCATGCAGCCCTGGATGTCCGCTGTGTCCCGGCCACTTCATTTTAGAGGGCTCAGAGAAGAGAGCTGGACCTTAAAAACTTTACTCTCTCCTGATTTATGTGGCAACAAACAGATTTGAGGCTCTTCTAGTCCACTTGATCTTGGCATTTTGTTAGATTCGAGTTAGCCTAGCTTGTAAATATCAGCTGGCCTCTGTCCCTGCAGTGCAGTCTCCCAAGCAGGAGTGACAGCTGATGCAGCAGAGCTTTCCAAAGGCCAAAGGCTTGCAGGTTTCCTTGACAGACAGCTAATAAAACCTGTGCCTCCCTTTTCCTTGCCCTTCCTTTAGGTATTACACCCGCACCATCTATCAGTTCCAGTTTCAGGAGGCACTTTGCAAGGCAGCTAACCATGTTGGCCCTCTTCACAAATGTGACATTACCAACTCCACTGAAGCTGGGCAGAAACTCAGGTAACGAAGCAAATTTCTCACATGTAATAAATCAGAGAGTAACAAAGTTTCTGGAGTAAATGAGGTTGCATCAAGAATAAACCTAGCCTGGAAATTTAGCCTATACCTGCTCAGTTCATTTTGACAAGTTGACTAAATTTATGTATACTAAGGTTCTGTACATCAAAGGTTTAATTACTTGTTTGTGGGGATAAAATATTTTTATTAATAGGAATAATGGGAGAAAGGAATGAATTCAGAAGCAAAGAACACCTTTATACTGGTCACAGAGTGTTTTTCTCATCTAGATGGAACATGACAATAACATATTACTTCTTGTTCCACATATACAGACAATTGCTGGAATTAGGGAGATCCAAGCCCTGGACTCAAGCACTGAAAAATGTAACAGGAGAAAAATACATGAATGCAGCTCCCTTGCTCCACTACTTTGAACCCTTATATGAGTGGCTGAAAAAAACTAATTCTGACAGATTCATTGGCTGGAAAACAGACTGGACACCATGTATGTATGGCTTGTGGGTGATTTAAGGACATGAGTTATTCTTCACAGCCCATGGTTAACAAAGTGCCTCTCTCTTGTAGCTGTTGGAGGCTCTTCTCCCTAAAAAAGCAGGGTTATGGGAAATAAACACTGAGCTGTAAGTTTTACTCACAGGAAAACCAACTGGCTTCCTCATGGCCAGAGCCGAAGAAGTCAGCACGTGTATTTGTCAGAGCCCCACGCAGTTCTCAGAAGTTGAGGTGTCTTTTTTTTCATGATGGCAGCACTCAGAGTGTGGGATGACTCTACAGAAGGAAGAAAGATTCATAAGCTTGGTCTTGTGTGGCGCTTTCCTGAGAGCAGTGTGCCTGTATTGCAGAGCTGGGAGCCACTTGTCCAGGGAGCCAGGTTAGGGGCAAACCAGTACAAAAAAATTACTGCTATGGTTTTGCTGACATGTGTTAGTCAAAGAGGGGAGCTCAAGGGGAGGAAAAGGAGGAGACTGTGGAAAAATGCGTTTTTCAGCTTATTGTGACATTGAGTGATGAACCAGACAGGTTATATTTGTGTAATCATTGCTGATACTGGAGAGCCTCTTAACTCTTGCAGCCCTGTGCCAGTCTGATAGTGGGATTCACCTAACCAGGCACCAGCATCTGCATCTAAGCTGTTCATTCCCAGTGATAGGAGAGAGGAATTTTCCATCTGCTACAAAACCAGACTTGGGAACTGACAGCTCAGATGAGTGTGTTTGCAGTAGAGGTGATGAAGGGAAACAAAATCAGTCCCCCCAAGCTCTCCAAGGGGAGCAAGGGAACTGTAAGGAAGCTTTAGCCACCTCAGCATTTACCAGGAGCAGACTTTCTGTTGCAGCAGCTTTAACATGGCCCTTGTTTCTTTCTAAACCAGATTCTAGCAATGCCATCAAAGTGCGCATCAGCCTGAAGTCAGCTCTGGGGGACCAGGCGGTGAGTGTGTTTGTGTGCTCTGGCACCCTTCTTACTGCTTGGGCAACAGAAGTGTTGTGGTAATGGCTCAGAAACTGAGTCAGGGTATGGCTGATCTTTGTGTCTGAAGGGTGGCATCAGCTCAGGTGAAGGGTTGTCACATATAAGATGTCTTGTCTAAGTTTGTGGTCAAGACTGCCTCTAAAATTAGTGGAGGAACTTCTGAGTGAGCCCACCCATCTCAGCTAGTTACTCTCTAGACATACCAATCATGATTTTCCACCTCCTACAGAACAGGCCTGGAAGGCTAACATAGAGGAACCTGTGTGCACGAAAATGGCTGTATTTTCCCCAGATTTGCTGATGTCTCCACTTAAAGCTTCTACCTAATTTCTTCTAATTGCCATTATGGTGGCTATGGTGACTGCCTTATTAGAGCAGCTAACTTCACATTTAAAAGCAGGCTGGTGGATCCCACTCTTTATCCTTCAATGCTCTTGGTTTCAAACTAAAACACATCTGTTAACACATTTCTCAGGAGATTTTTGTTTGGCTGTTTACAGTAATATTTGCAGGCCCTGATATGCACAGCTGCCTCCCTGCCCTCCTACCCTGGTGCAGAGACAGCTTTGTTGTTAGATTGCGGGGGACAGTGCAGTGCAGATGCTTCTGTTTCAGATGAGGCGAAGGGCTTTCATTCCCAAGAGCTTGTCTGCTTTCCCCAATTATACCAGCTGGTCCAATAAAATGTATTACAGCAATGAAAAAAAATCTCATCAAAGCTGAAGATGGCTTTTACGATTTTAAACAGAGCGTTGGCTTAGCCCATCTGCTTAACCCAGGCTGAAAATTCACTCCTTATTCTAACTCTTCCTCTTCATGCTAATCTCACGGAGGCAGTGTCGAAGGTTTAAGTGCAGACACTTCATTCCTGTTAATAGCCATTTTCACCTTGCAGGACATCAGTAATTTTCCAAGAATGAGTATGTCATCAGGCAGGCCATTTAGACCTGCATGTTGGAGCCTATTGCACTAGCAAGGACACAAACCACAGGGTGATTTTTCATATGAATTGATGCTCTTGCTTCTATCACTCTCTCATACGCAAGCCCCTCTGGAGTTTTATTGCTTCCTAGATTGCCTAGTCAAGTTAGATACAATTCAAAACTGATATCAACAGCATAAAAAGGCTCCATATTACAACACGTTTATTAGTCATTATGGTTAATGTTTAGCTTAATATCATTTTTATGCCTGCCTTTAGCCATCATAGTCTTTTGTTGTGCAATTGAGCAGCTGTAAAACAATCTCATACAGATTACTTAATTTGAATTATTGCATGGACAGTAGGTTCCTAAGCTCTGAAGAGCCAGCCATACATCTTCCTCTCAAAACCAGTTCACATCACTGATTTGCAAGAAGCCTTTTCTATTCGGTTGCTTTCTGCCTCCCTACAAATTTCCCTTTTGCTGAGCCCCCAGGGACATGGCAGAATGCTGGTATGGCAGCAGCAGGTAATGGGACGTATGTGAACTGGCATAGAGAAAAGGCAGGGGGAATCTCGGGCAGAATCTCAGCCCAGCTAAACACAGCCATGTGTTTTGGGTGCTTTGCACAGCTCACAGTGCACAGAAGCTGTGGGCAATTGTTTGTTTAAGGTGTATTTTGAGTTACTTTACCCTGACCTAGCAGCACAAAGCACTCTGAATATGCCAGCAAACAGCTTTGCATTTGTGCTCGCTGGCTCTGGAAAGAGCAGGCAGGGAAAGATTCCTGCTCTGGGCTCAGGTACAGCTGTGCTGGGGGCCAGGGCAGCTGCAGCTCACACAGGCTGTGACTCAGCCCCAGCAGGGATGTTTTAATAGCCCCAAGTTCTGGCAAATTAAGCATCCAGACTCTCGGATGGGCTCAACGCCAGCTGTACCAGAGCGTGCACTGCTGCAATTACCCTGCTAATTGTTTTCAGGCTGATGAGATTAGAGCTGCAGCCGCAGCATTGCTGGATCACGGGTGCAGCTCATGAGGCTGAAACATCCACAGTTTTGCTTCAGCTGGGGCTTTATGAAAGTGCCCGCACAAGGGAAACTGCTACAAGATCCCCACTGAATTCCTTGGGGTCTGTCATATTTAACATAGACGGTTCCAGGAGCGCCAGCCCCTGACTGCCACTTGAAAACCAGACCCCTCTCCAAACATTATTTCAAAATTCTCTACCAGGTCAATGCCATATGTGTGATCACACTGTAAAGGGCTGTCACACAAGACAGTGTTAGAGAATGGAGAGCTGTCAGCCTGCAGGCATTTAGATGCATTTTGCAATGAAAAATCCTTTTTGAATCAGAGGCCACACTTACACTGTCTTTCAAATCACATATGGGACCTTGGAGTGAACACACTGTAACAGAGCAGAGGTGCCTGGCAGAGTTCTTTTCTGTCTGAAAGCAAAGCAGCTTCTGTAAGGCACAGTGTAGGGTGGGTACCCGAGATGCCATGGGAAGCTGTGTGGGTAGTCACAACTCAAACACAGATCAGAAGCCAGCCAAGTACCTCCCATCCACACAGCCAGTAATAGTATTTATAAAGGCAATTGAGAGGCACAGTGGCAATTAAAATACATTAGACTGAAAAAAAACAAAATACAAGTTAGAGAAATGAAAAAATGATTAAAAAGTTAACATGCTAAGTACAGAAAGCATCAGTAGAGGAATCAAGCTCATTAGATCCTGGTAAAAATAATAACAATAAAAAAGCAGCACTGCAAGCCTAAAGATGTTGGGCATAAATAGAAAATTGGGAAACCCCAACAACAGCCTCTTAGCTGTGATAGTGAACAGTGCCGGCTGCTGGAGGCAGCAGCAGTAACAAGAGGTGCTTCAGTGCAGAGCTGTGCCAGCAGGAGAAAGCTGGGGGCATTTGCCTCACAACGGGAACTCAGCCTCAGCCTTTCCTGGTGGGAACAGCCAGGGCTGGCACAGCCCCTGCCCTTCAAATGCCCTGGGGACTGCTCTGATTGCTGTGGCTTTGGGTACCTGTGCCTTTCCTGGGACCTGGTCCTGAATGGACTGACAGCAGTGGGTTCTTTCTGCCCTTTCCTGCCCTTTATTAATGCAATCAGGACTCTTTAGGTTGTGAGGGACCTTTAAAGATCAGCTAGCCCAACCCAACTGCAAATGAGAAAGGACATCTTCAGCTAGATCAAGTTGCTGTAAGGCTCACCCAGCCTGACCTTGAATGTTTCTAGAAACTGAGTATCCATCACCTCTCTGGGCAACCTACTCCAGTGCCTCACCACAGCAAAGAATTTCCTCCTAGTAACTAATCTAAATCAACTCTCTTTTAGTCTAAAACCATTACTCCTTGTGCTATTGCAACACACCCAGCTAAACAGTTTGTCCCTGTCTATCCCTCATAGATGTCTTCCTCATGGATATTTATACATCTCTCTCATTTTACATCAGTGTCAAGAGGTGGACACATATGAAAAATGTAGCTAGGTTTTATAAAGCCAGTTACAACAGAGCTGCCTTCTACCACACCTTCCTGAATAATGTTCAAGAAAGTCAGGAGCTGATTTTCTATCACTGACAGCATTTATGGGCCTTCCTGCCCAGGTACCATAAACACAATCAAATCTATGCCTGAGTGGAATAAAAAGATACTGCCACAGAGTTCAGCTGGGAATTTTCCCTTCGTGCAAACATGCTATTTCACAACAAACCAGGCTGCTTTATCACCTCCGGTGGTGGTTTTTGCCCCCTGTACAGCTCTTGGTTCTTGCCCCAAAGAAGCTGTTTTTGTCTCCCACTGCAAATAACTTTGGACTCATAAGGCAGGCTAGGAGAAGCCTGCACAGAGGCAATATATTTTTTTTTTTTTTAATATCACCTATCGATTCTCCAGGGAAAAAACCCCAAGTGTGGCTTGCTGCAGAAGTACTGATACAAAGTTTTTACCAAAACAGACCATGAACAAAAATCCGAGCTCATCAAGCAAATAAATTAGCCACTTTCACACAACAACTCTACCACAAAGGTTCTCCTCCTTAACAGAACAGCTCTGCAAATAAACTTATGTGATTAAAACAGGATCTAAATAATGAAATTTTTAGAATTCAAAGAGAATGTACAATATTTAGTAGGAATAGTCTTGCTGATGCTCTTTCTCCCTGTAAGTCAGGAAGGCGTGCTGGCACTGCAGCATCTTCAGCAGTCCCATATAAAGGTGCCAGAGATTGCAGAGGGACAGCATGATATCTGGCAGCAGGGATGCCTCCTTGGTTATTCTACTGCACAGTGCCCAGATTAACAGATCTAAAAGGTTTGGGTTGGTTTCTGATGTGCTATCATGGCACAAATAAA